GGTCCAACGTCAACTTCGTTATTGGCACAATCTACAACGACAAGTTCATGATAATCACTGGATGCCTTATATTCGTCTACTTCAGCTCCCGTATTGTCGCAAAGACCATCGCCAAGAATATTCGATTCGTGGTCAACGTCTGCTGGTTTTTGATAATAAGCGAGTGCCTTAGGTTGATCCTTTTCAACTTTAATTCCATCTTCATGACTGTCTTTTTCCACAAGTTCGTTTCTAGGCGGGGGTTCATCGTTATTACAATTGCCGTCATCTCCTAAAGGTACATCCAAATGCCTGAACTCTTCCATTTGAACCAACATAGCCTGGGTCCGACATCCTTCATTCGCTGGGCTATTATCACCATTTCTCAGGTTGCTTCCATTCTCAAAATTCGGAGCTTGTGGAACATTCTTATTGTCATTTACTTGCTGTACCACGTCCAGACATTCTCTTGCATAGTGATCCGGCCGTTGACATGAAAAGCAGATAGGTTCATGTCCACTCCTTTCTCTACGGTTCCCATTATTCATAGAATGCAAACGATCATTACTACCGTTATTATTTCTTATAGCCGTCACTACTTCCTGCAGTAGTGAAATAACATGCCCCATAGAATTATTCTGACTCGAAGTCATAGAAATATTCAATTGCGGACTCCTCGGGTAAGTAGCAGTTGGTAATATCGGCTGTATTGGTACTTGAGGTTGCAGTGGCTGCTGTGGCTGTGATGCCCATTGTTGCTGTGAATATAATTGTTGAGGCAACGATCCAGATATGGTGTTATAGATTGCCGCAGGTCCACAAAGAGCTAATCTACGACCAAATGTCAGTTCACATATCCGAGCTCTATCGATAGCCTCTTGAATCGTATTAGGCATAAAGGGTCCAACGGCCAAAGACAAATCGGAACGGAGACCTTGCACAAACATTTGTGCCTTCACTGCTTCAGGGTATTGATTGCCCACTTGCATTACATGTCAAAATAATGCCAACATGTCAGTCGAATATCGATCCACCGTTTCCCCAACACATTGTCAACAATTTATCAACTTCATATTCCATTGAGTTATCAAAGCATATGTACAAAATTTGGCGTAGAATTGGTGCACGAAGCTTTGTCCAGGGGCGAATTCGTTATTCCAATATTGAATCTTTGGTTCCTTATTCCTTTGATCCATCTACCAAAACGCAGCAAGGCCCGACAAATAAGCACCAACGATAGCCAACCTTCTTGCAATATTATTAGCCTCAAAAGCTCTATCGACAGCTTCTAACCACTCTATTGGGTCTTGATTATTGTCTGCGAAAACTGGTATGTTCACAAAATTTTGTTCTCACCTATTCGATTGAGATTCTTGTTGCCTTGCCAAAGTATTCATCATAGTTTGGAGTCGTTCCCATGGCAGATTCATATGAGTCGGGTTCATCGGTTGATCAAGATTGTCATCATTCGTTTGATCTCAATTAGAATTCCAAGTGTTCATTGTGACTTTAAATACTCAGAATCCAACAAATCCAATTCGTTCATTCGCCTAACCTTCGTTAATTCGTTCGTTCGTTTGTTCGTTGAATTATTTTCTTTTGGTCGTCGTTATTCTTTATCGTCTTTACAATTTTATCTCAGCGCAAAACAGATCCAAAATTTGTTCAATTATATTTATTTATTACATTGTCGCTCCCTTTGCTTGTTCGAATCTACTCAATATACTGATTTAACACTGTTTTTTTTTTGTATCATCCACACATGTACTAATTTAACATGGTTTTCTTTTTATTCGTTCACACAATCGGCACCATAAATGTTACAGTCAAGGGAGAGACTTTAGGACAACGTAGCCAATTTAGCAGAGGACTGCAAGCATTAAGGGGAAAGAACTAAGTATGTATTTATGTATATGAGATACTGAAAG